CATCTAGTCTTTATTTATCGGTGTAAAGATGTTTCAATCCTCGTACAATAATAAGTCTAGTTTCAAATACGAGTCTTAATTAAAATTCAAATAGGAGTTTTAATTAAGGTCCACATCCAATTAGTTTACATTTATTTACACATGTAGTCCTACAACTTCAATTACAACTATAATTAAGTTTACATTTTTATAACAATTACAACTAAATATAAAACTTTATTGTAATTACAATTAAGTCCAAAACTTTTGTTATAATTATAATTAAGTTTCAATACTTTATAAAGCTACCACGGAGACTGAGGGACCTGATCGGACATATATTATTCAAACTCCAATAATTAGTTCATGTTTAGTCGATCCTAGACCACCTAATCTAATTATTAATCTTTGATTTTTTCATTAAAGGCAAAAGACTGAACTTTTGGATTATATAGGATCACATAAGTCAATAAAGATATAATACTTTTATTTGACGTGCTATATATGTATTTCATCTCCGTCCAAGATCCGATAATTAGGTATGAGCATAAATGACCGTTTTGCTCATTTAGTTATTCTCATTAACTTAAGTACTATTTTTTTCAACGGTCATTTTAACTAATGACAGATGTCGAAGTTTGGATATTGCTCAATATTGAGCTCAAAGTTTAATCGTTCAACAAAAAATATTTAAATGGTCACTCTATCCATTTTTCAGGACGATGGTTCCAGAGACGAATTCATGTTTTCTATTTCGCTCATTCTCAAATTCTCAATTATTGAGATATTTTATCAATCAAATTGATCTCACCCATTAGTGAATCAAAAAAATCATTACAAAACCACGAAAAGTTATATATATATAGACACACACACACACATACACACATAACCGTAACAAGGGATTTAAATGAAATATATGGCGATCAAGTGAAATTTATTTCTTTATACGGTCATGCTATAGAATTAAACTCGACTCGAGGTCCATTCAATACACTCCAAGTGTACTATTATGACCTTTTACTATTTATGTAATAAGAACAAATCACAAATTGAAATAGTTAATCGGTCAACTCTACAACCTTCCGGTACAAGATGCCAACCTAATACATCGATTGTGAATAAATTACTTATGATCAAACTATTAGTTGTGTCATACTGTACTTCTCAACGTAAGTACCCAATTTATATTATTAAAATTGATCATAGACAATTTAGTTCGCATGCTCATTAATAAATAAATGCAATAAATAATACCACAATTTATTTATTATAAATTATTATTTTACTATAGCGAAATGTACTATATTGGCACACAAATCAACATCTCTCAACTCTCATAGTTTCATTTCATATCTAGTAACTGAAGTGGGACATGCTACGAAAATGCATCAGCAGTTTTACGAAAAATGCCGGACCAGCATCAGAAATCTCGAAAAATATACAAAATTGGAACTCTCCAACTTAATGTCATAACGAACAGAAACCGGAAGATTAATTGTACATGTTGTATCAATGTGAAAAGGCCAAATGGAAACCTTTCAATAGTACATCCTACAAAACTTTTACAAAGTTGCGGGAAATATTGTGGACCTCGACTCCCTAGCTATTAGAGAATTTCATTATGGCTTGTAAGAGCATTGGCCAAGCAGCTATTACAAACAATAACAGCATGAAATAATTCAAGAAATGAGAAGTGTATAAAAAACAACTTTATTCATGGGTGGGGATTTCCCAAAAACCCTGATCCTATAAAAACAAACAGTAGCAACACTACTAAAGAAATAAAACTGTTGTTGAAAATATGTCATTCTAAAATAGGTTTAAAACAACCACAAGTTCACACTACAGTGAATTCCCTCCAGCATCCAGTGGGAGCAACTGCCCCCACTGGACTCATACCGGCTCCTCTACTGCTCGAGACAATGCGCAAACATGGTTACTTCTGGATCAAACTGTCAGAAGTAACCTTGACCATGTAGCATAGGAGCTTGAATTCGTCGTTTTCGTAATCCATATGGGCCGGGTCGAGTAGATCCTTCTTGAAAGCATTTCTGCACCTCATCACTTCCTGTAGAGCATCATTTATTTCGACAGGAATGGACCTGTAACGATTAAAATCCAAATATTTGTTCACCGTTTGAAGATCACGAATAGCATCGTTGTAATTCTTGTAGCAAGTACTATATTTTTC